GCAGCACATGGCACTTTCAGTATTCTCCTCCAACACCGTAACTATCAACTATCAACACTCACGGAAGCAGCAGTCAAGAAATTAGGCAAATCTGCTGCACATTAGGCAAATCTGCTGCACAAGACCTTTTTACGGTGTTCAGGAGCAAGGATGCCAGCTTGAGAAATGGGGTGCACCTGACGCAAGCCATGATATTTTCAATAACCTCATATGCATGCTGGACAGTGAATAGGGAAGACTGTAGAATTGATGCTTTTGAATTATGGTGTTGGAAGGTTGATAGGGACAGGCAAGTATGACATTGACTATCGTATCGGAGGTGGGGGGGCTGATAAAAGTATGACATGGCTGTTATAAGCTTTCATGAGTGTGCTTACGTTCAGAATGAGGGGGATAAGGTAGACTCCCCACTGAATAGTTTTCATTTTTTCCAGATAGATCTGGTGAAAGGGGATGGGGGATGATGAAGATGATAGGATTTTAAGATTCAATTGTGAGCAACTGCCAGCAGGATTAAATGTGATTGTCACAACTGTAATTGTAGAAGATGTATAACTAAAAGGGGGGGAGTAGTTAATCTTCCATTTCAGAACAGAGGATTCCAGGATCATCAAGAAGGAAGAGCACGAGTGGAGCGTGAGACTCCTACCTAGAAAAGCGACAACAGCATAGATGGTAGCAGAGGTGATAGTATGGAGAGAGAGAGTAGCTTCCAGCTCAAAGCCCATGGACTAAGTAAGGCTGTACGCCTGTGGGCAGGAGGCTGGCTTGCAGAGTATGCCCGTTAAGACATGTAAATGAATATATATTTTTTGTTTTGTATGTGTGTTATCAAATATTTTTGCTTTATTCATGTGTGAAATACAAGATGTAAATGGGGAGCCACAGGGAAGAAGTGGGATGACTGCTGTTGCAGGAAGGGGATTGTAATCATTGAGATGAAACAAACTGTATAATCTGTTGAATGGAAAGCTGATAATCTTGTCTGTAAACCTCCACTGAATTCACAACAAAAAGGTAAGACGAAAGAAAGAAAATACAATGAGTATCTTAACAGGAGTGACTTTTGCCCTCTGCTCAGAAAGAAAGGTGCCCTAGTGGTGCTGTATCGGTCGGGCTGCTAAATGCAAGGTGAACAGTTTAAAATCACCAGTTGCTCCAAGGGAAAAAGATTAGACTGTCTGCTCTCATAAAGTAACAGTCTCGGAAACGCTAGAAAGGGTCATTATAATTTGGGATCGACTCAACAGTAATGGGTTTCTCGGATGGAGCTCTGAAAGAATGTCATTACCATTTAAAGTCTATGAAGCATATATCGATAGTTTGAAAAAAGCCTCCATATGATAAGCACTGGAGTCCTGGTGTGGTGCTGTGGGTTAATGTGCTGGACTGCAAAGGCATGTGAACTGCAACGTCAACGGTGCAAGCTCACTAGCCGCTCCTCAGAAACCCTATATAGGGTCGCTATGGGTAGGAACCGACTTGATGGCACTTAACAACAACAACGATAAGCACTGGACTGCGAATCACAAGTTTGGAAGATCGAGCCTACAAGCTGCCCTGTTTGAGAAAGATGAAACTTTCTGCTTCCACTAAGATTGAAAGCCTCAGAACCCCTATAAAGGGTCATGAGGAGTTGGAATTGACCCCACAGCAATAACTAACCACTTATTCTGAAAAGGGTTGCAGAGAAATCAATTAGGAAATATCTTAAAACAGAAGGAGCAATTTTCAGTATATTGGTCTGAGGAATTTAAAAAAAAACAATAGTAATCATATCAAGTTTCAACTAGTCAAAACTAATGAAAGTGACAGCAGCAATATAATAAATTATTTTAAGGCACAAGCCACCTCACTAAAAATGTTTTCAAGTGATTTGTACGAGGGTAAGTCAAAAAAGTACTGCTGCAAAGTCACAGAAAACGTTATTAAAATTAACAAAATATGAAGCTATTTTTACTTGAAATATTCGCCATCTAGGTCTACATACTTCCTGGTGTGGCACCATAGGATAAGCACTGGATCTCAAGGTCAGTGGTTCAAACTCACAACCTGCTCCTCAGAAACCTTATACAGGGTTGCTATCAGTCGGAACCAACTCAACGGCACACAGCAATTCTTCCCCAATGAATTCTCCACTCTTCGATTTATACCACATCAAAACTGCAGTTTAGGACTCAAGGGACTCAAACTGTACACTTTTGAAAGGGCTTTGAGTTTGAAGACCAAAAACAAGTCTGAGGGACTGAGAATAAGGCTGTGGGATGGATAGAGTAAGCTTTTCTAACAAAATTATTCTCGGACAGCTCCTGCTCCCCTCAGACAGAGCAAGAGCATTGTTGTGATGGAAAAAAATTCCTTGGCACAACTTTCCTGTACTTTTTCTCACCAGTAGAGTTGTGTAATTTATTCAATCTTCTTCATAAGTCCCTGTAATCATCTTGTTTCCTTTGAAAAATCTATCAAGGTTTCCCCTTTGGCATATCAAAAACCAGTATCGTAAAATTCCAAACTGACCTCTCTCCCTTAACTGGCCCAGTAAATTCCCTCCAAACCCATTGTTTTGACTGGACCTTTTATTTGAAAGCACCCTAATGAGACTAAGACAAGTGTATTAAAGAGAGAATTTGTCTCCACCAATCTACTTATTGCAGAGATATGCTCAAACGTGGTTTGTTTGGAATAATTCATTCATATATGACCTGGAACCCTAGTGGCAATACTTTTTGACTTATGTGAGAACATGGTTGACTAAGTAAAAGCACCAAAAGAGAAATAATTAAAAGGTGGTATAATGGTTAAGGAGTACTGGTGTGGCACTGTGGGTTAATGCACCAGACTGCAAAGCCGTTTGACCTGTGAGGTCGGCAGTTCAAGCTCATCAGCTGCTCCTTGGAAACTCTATACAGGGTCGCTATGGGTCGGAATCAACTCCATGGCACTTCATAACAACAATAATGGTTCAAGAAGTTGGCTGCTAACTGAAAGATTTGTTGCTTGATCCCATTAGCCACTCCACAGGAGAAAGCCGTGGCAGTCTTCTTTCTTAAAGAGTTACACCTCTGGAAACCCTCTAGGCACTTCTACTCTGTCCAATACGGTCACTCCAAATCGGAATTGATTTTTCAATAGTGGGTTTGGTTTTAGTTTAATGTCATTAAGAGAAACAAATAGGTGTTAGAAAAAAAAGATTTTTAAATCCCACTCCTAATAGTGTAAAATATATAACCAGTTTCATATTTAACATCTGCAAAACTCATGCCCTTAATTTTTTTTTGATAATCAAACCACCAAAAAAATGGTATATACAAAGTTGAAAAAATTCTTCCATACTAGCAATAATATTTTTCAAACCATTCCAAAAATACTGACAAATTTTCAAGAACTCAGAATTTGGATCTTTTGGGGAACTTTATTGTTGTTGCTGTTAGGTCAATTCCAACTCACAGTGATTCTGTATAGTTTCTGAGAAGCCCCCATCAACCCTGGGGGCTAGCAGTCCAGAGCTTATTCTATAGCACCACACCAGCTTTTTGAGCTTTACAGGACATAAAAATAAGTGAAATGGAAGCATCATGAACTTTTATGCAAACTACACATATAGACAAATGTATTTAATTCATATATAAATATTCACAAATAAATATAAATATGTTGGGATCTCTCACTCTTCCGAATCCTTCAAATTTGTCAAAATGCACGTATTAATACAAATTCTTAGGGCACAACTAGGTCTTACATGAGCAAACAGATTTCAAAAGTGAACTCTGCAACTATAGTATCTACATTTGTAAAGGTTTATATAGTATATAAAACTGTACCATCAACATTACACATTTGTTTTTCTCCTCTCTCAGCAAATAGGGTTAACTAAACTACCATCTAAAAGTGTGTAGACTAACCGGTTACCTTGCTACAACTGAACAGTCAACTATTTCTGAGTCCATTTTGAAGCAGGGGTTGTAACAGTCATCTCCAACAGAAATCGGGAGTGATGGTGGCAGGTGGTTTAGCGCTTAGCTGCTAACTAAAAAGTCCGAGGTTCAAATTCTGGCAGAAAGATGAGGCAGCCTCTTTCCATTAAGATTACATTTTTGGAAACCCTATGGGGCAGTTCGACTCTATTCTACAGGATCACTGAGTCCGGATTACCTCAACAGCATACAACAATAGATATGACTAGAATTAATACATAAAGGGGGAAAACGTATTTTAAAAATTGACACTGAAAATACAAGAAACAACTTTTCATAGTTTCAATATACAGTTACAATGATTTATATGATGTACTGCCTAAATTAAACTAGAAAAGGCTGTATTTCATGAAAAAAATTTAAGACAAGACTTAAATTTTTTTCTAATAATACAAACTTCCTCTGTAGCCCCTCCCGACATAAGATGCAGGGATGGAAAAAGAACACATTCACTTTTGAAATTAACATAATGGAAAAGGACAAAATGACAAGGTTAACTAGAGAACAAGATCAATACTGCAGCCTATTTTCTAAAGTTCCACAATTGCTAAGCCGCATTATTACTAACTCACACCCACCCTACCAGATGTTTACACCTTCCTCCCATTCCATTTATGACAGCGATCACCTTCCCAGCAGGTAAGTGAACTCAGCACCATTTCCAGTGGCTAATCAACTGGAATGTCTCAAGAGTGACTGGGTCAAAGGAAAAAGAAATGACCGAGAAAGAAAGGAATTAAATAAATAAATAAATAAAAATCAGCATTAAACTGTGGCTGGGAGATAGATCTCTCCGGCACAGGGTGAGTTGGGGGCTAGGCGGAGACTTAGGGAAAGAGGAAACGGGTCTCTAGGGTTGCAGCCAGGAGCCACAGAAAAGAGAAGTGTGAGGCAACAGCTGACCAAAGAGCCAAACAATCAGCCAGCACTACCCTCCACGAAAAATCTAAAGAAGGGGACCCTTGGGGCCCCGGAGATAGGCAACCCTGGGTCCGTCCCCAGCGGCGCAGGAGGCCGGGAACTCACCACCTGGTAGCGGCCAGTGCCCGGCTGGTGGAGATCCATCCTGCCCGGCTCGGAATGCGGCTTCCGAGCGGGCGAGTCCCCTCGGCGCTCAGCCCCCTCGGCCACCTCTGTCGTCGTCGTCGTCGTCGTCGCCGCCGCCGCAGCGCCCCTTCCGCCTCTGTTTTGGCCGCTGCTGGCGCCAGGCGGGGCTGCCTCACTTCCTGTCGCTCCCGGAGCAGCCGCCGAGAGCTCCGCGTCCGCGGTGGGTAGACCGAGAAGCTCCGGGGCGTCGCGGGGCTGGCGTGCGCTACTGAGCATGCTCGGTGTGGTCGCGCATGCGCGCTGGGTCCTCCGGGGCCCCCAACCTTGGTGCGAGTAGGAGGGTTTCGCTGGATGAGAGGAGATGGAAAAGTATGAGAAGTCTGGGGTGCTGTCTTGGTTGTAGGCGGTCGGAAGTGGGCGGTAGCAAAAAGAGCGGAAAAAAATATCACCGTCAGTGATTGGACTTTTCCTTGTGAACGAGTTTCACGCAAGCTTAGGCACAGACAGTATCACACGACCAGAGGTCGAGAAGGGAGGAGACGCATTCCTAGAACACCTGAGGACAGATCACATATTTACCCAACACTTCCTCTTATTACTCACCCAGACTAGGACAACGCAGAGACCCATCCCTAGGCCATTCCTAAAACGTTTATTCTAAATCACTGAATAAATTGTTTTTTATTTTGTTAGTAAGAAAGTTTAGAATCCAACAGGGATTCTTCAGACATATTTCTTTTAGGTTAGAGTACTCTGGTGCTCCAGATTAGTGGATAGATACAAGAAAAAGTAAACATAATAATGAACTATTTAGTGTTGTTGTTAAATGCCATCAAGTCGATTCTGACCCATAGTGATCCTGTTTAGGGTTTCCAAGGAGCAACTGGTGAGCTTGAACCACCGACTTTGCAGCCTGATGCATTTGTCCACAGCGCCACACCAGAACTCCTTTACTTGTTGTTAAGTCGATTCCGACCCATAGCGACCCTGTATAGGGTTTCCAAGTAGCATCTGGTGAGCTTTGAATCACCGACTTTGCAGTTCAAATGACTTTGCAGTCTGACACATTAGCCCACAGTACCACTCCAGGAGGACTCTTTTAGTTGTTGTTGTTGTTAAGTGGCATCGAGTCGGTTCCGACCCATAGCGACTCTGTATAGGGTTTCCGAGGAGTGACTGGGGAGCTTGAACCGCCGACCCTGCAGTTCCAACGGTTTTGCATTCTGGTGCATTAACCATCAGCGCCACATTAGTGGTCACACTCAAATCCATAGTTCGGTAGGGTTTAACAATAAGGTATTCCTTTGAAGTTGAAACATTGTTGAAACTATCTCAGAGCCTGGTTCCTTTAGCACAAAGCCTGTTGTTTCTTTAGCTAGTAGAAGGGTACTGGGAGCAAGGTAAATTACCTTTCAACACAAAAGAACTGCTTTCTATACTTTAAAAATTATAATCCCAGGTAAATTGGCCCAGTAGTGTACAATCTCCTTTTTTTTTAAATGACTGAACCTTTTGTCCTTAAATGATAAAAGGTACAGGACAGGCCCCTGAGAGAATTAAGGAAAGGGATCTACCTTACTTACTGATAGAATGACCCTTCCAGAGAAGGCTACTGAATGAAGAAGGCCACCGGATCAGCTAGTTAAAAGTGCAAAGATACAATAAATACTGAAAAAATTAAATAAAAAATTGAAACCTTCCTGATAATTTTATTCAAAGCATTCATTTGCTCTTACCATTTTTGTATATTGAGATGCCTACCAGCAGGGAGCATTAACAGTCTAACAATATTAAACTGCATCGTATTTAAACTTCTTTAAACTTGCTTTCTTTATGATCTAACAAAGTATTTTAAACTCTAAGAAAATAAACAGTACATTCCCAAATGGTATCATCTTTCAAGAATCAAAACAACCACCAGTGTCAGCTAAAAAAGGCCAGATCCCTGCATCATTTATGGCTTATAAGATTCAATTTATAACTTAATTTTATATGTTGTATTTTCATTAATCATGTTTATGTTCATTTGTTGCTTAAATCATACTGCTGCTTAGGGAAGAGAACACTTTTTACACCAAATATGCCCAGCACAATACAGAGAACATAATGGTGGAAAACAAAGACCTGACCAAAAAGCAGATATCCTGAATTCTATTGGAGTAACAGATGCATTTTCCTCTTATCCCAAATATATGGACATTTTGGTAATCTAACAGAGCTGAATATAAAATTCAACAGGAAAGTATATTTTCAGGGAATAGGAAGACTAGAATAAGGAAAGAGAAGTAGAATGCCAACTAATAGGTTTTCAGCCTTTCATAACCAAAGAATTATTACTGCATTATTTCATCCTTAAAACAATGTCACAATGTAGACACAATTATAATCACCATTTAACAGATAAGGAAAGTAAGGTCCAGAGAGAATCAGGAAGTGTTCAATGTCGAATCCCTGGTAGACGGTGACAGATGTCAGAGTCCCCACAATATTAAATACTTGTTATTGTTAAGTGCCATTGACTTGGTTCTGACTCATACCAACCCTGCACAGGGTTTCCAATGAGTGGCTGGTGAGTTTGAACCACTGACCTTATGGTTCAAATTGACCTTGTGGTTCATTGATTTTTATCCCACAGTGTTATATAATAAAACCAAACCAAAGGTTTTTAATTCTGGATTGTCCTACTTGCTGTTGTTGTTAGGTGTCATCGAGTCTGTAATGACTCATAGTGACCCTATGCACAACAGAACGAAACACTTCCCGGTCCTGGGCCAACCTACAATCATTGCTACATTTGAGCCCATTGATGCTGCCAGTGTGCCAGTCTATCTCACTGGGGGTCTTCCTCTTTATCTCCAACCCTCCACTCTACCACATGATATCCTTCTAATAATAAGAGTGAAGTATGAAAGACAAAGTTTGGCCATCCTGGCTTCCAAGGAGCACTCTGGCTGTATTCCTTCCAACACAAATCTGTTTGTTCTATTGGCAGTACATGGTACTTTCAATATTCTCCTCCAGCACCATAACTCAAATACATCAAGTTTTCTGCAGAATTCCTTATTCACTATTCAACTTTTGCATGCATATAAGGTTATCAAAAATATTATGGCTTGTGTCAAGCGCACCTTAGTCCTCAAACTAATATCTTTGCTCTTCAACACTTTAAAGAAGTCTTGTGCAACAGATTTGCCCAGTGCAATACATCATTTGGTTTCTTAACTGCTGCTTCCGTGAGTGTTTATGGTTGATTCAAACAAAATAAAGTCACTGATGACTTCAATCTTTTCTCCATTTACATGGATGTTATTTATTGGTCCAATGGTAAGGATTTTTTTTTTTCTTTGCATTGAGGTGCAACATACTGAAGGCTGTGGTCTTTGATCTTCATCAGTAAGTATTCTAAGTACTCCTCACTTTCAGCAAGCAAGGTTGTATCATCTGCATATCTCAGGTTGTTAATGAGCCTTCCTCCGATCCTGATGCCACATTTTCCTCCATATAATCCAGTTTCTCTGGTTGTCCTACTAGTAACATCTATTTGTGATGAAAGGACATTTGTAGTAGCCTAAAGCTACTAACTTTTTAATAATGTTTTTCACCCCTAATTTTTTGATACCCTGCACATCTCTCATTTTGTTGTACTATAGTGTCTCGGGTGTGGCTGATATGAAGCTATGGTATGGTTGTTTCAAATACCAGCCTGGTCACCCATGTTCTTCTCATTGTTAAGTGCAGTTGAGTCAGTTCCAACCCATAGCAACCCCATATAGGGTTTCTTAGGAGCAGCTGGTAAACTCGAACCTCCAACCTTTCAGTTCAAACCAACTTTGCATTAACCCACAGCTCTACACTAGGATTCGTGGATTTAGCAGAGCTTCTAGACTAAGAACAGAGTAGGAAGACTGAATAGGCAGTCCTTCTTGTAAGGGATTAACAAATGAAAACCTTGTGAATAGCAGCAAAACATTGTTTGATACAGTGCGGGAAGAAAAATTCTTCAGAATGAAAGACACTCAAAAGACAACTGTGTTTGAAAGAACAAACAAGATGGCGGATCGGGTGGATGTATAGCAGAGAGCTCCGCCAACAACAACACAGAATACCTGAACAAGCAGGCTCAGGGGATGGTCCCAGAACTCTGAACCACATATAAAGGAATACATAGAAGGTTGGAAGACTCACAGCT